AAAACCCCAAAACCCCCAAATCAAAAACCCTTCTTCTGCCTCACCATCTTCTTCCCACAATCTCTCTCTCTCTCCCTCACCCCACTCATTCCGCCGCCACCCGACACCCACCCCAACGAGTCGCCCCAACCGCCACCGCCAGCCGACGGTGCCGTCCCCGACGCTCGCCGCCGCCACACCGGGAGCGACCCGCGACGCCACCGTCGACCGCCCGGATCCCACCCGCTGCCACACGCCGCCACGCTCACGTCGCACGCCAAGCTCCATCGCGAGCCACCGTTGCCTCGCCGGACATCCTCGCCGCCGCGCCGAGAGCTGACGAAGCCGTACCGCCGTAGCCCTCGTCGAAATCCCACCGGAAGCTCGCCGGAGTCCGCCGGAAAATGCTATCCAGAAGAAAATTCCAAAAAATGCCGAAAAAACCCCTCGGAGTCCGCACCCCGGAATGGAGCAACGCCGACTACACCGTGATCGGAGGTAAAGCCCTCGAACCCGATCAATTTTCTCCGGAATTGGTCGACATGCTCAATCACCAAGGGCTTTTGGATACGTACCTCACCATAAAAGTGGATACGTACCCCGAATTGGTGAAGGAGTTCTATCGACATTTGGTGGCCGCCAAACGCGGTGATAAACTAGAAATCACCACTAAGGTCCGGGGCAAGGAAATCATACTTTCCGAGGGCCGCTTGGCCAAGCTCTTAAAATTGACCACCACAGGTGTGTCAGACTACGACCGAAAAGGATGGATTGGTACTCAAAACACGGGGTACAAAGACTACCTCGGATACCTACTCGGAAAGGAGGAAGGTTTCACTTCGCCCACCCGGCCAAACAGGAAATGGCTAACCGCGGAGCAAAAGATATTGGTTATGATTGTGACTGACAGCCTATTGCCCACAAATAATAAAAGCAAGGATGTGGAAATTTTGGAGTGTACTTTTTCCTATCTCTTAAAACACAAAATTAAGTTCAATCTGCCGGCCCTCATGTTGAAACACATGGAATTTTGTAAAACTAGCAACCGACTTAGCCTACCCTACGGGATGATCCTGAGTTGGATCATGGAGAAAAAGGGGGTAGACCTAAGCCACACAGAGGTCAAGACCGCAAACGGCATGGCTTTCAATGCTCCGGATCTTCGTCGCAATGACATCTACTACACCGAAGGGGGACAATACATCACCCTCGAAGAGATTTGCCTTAAGCCCGAAGAGGAACGAAGGGAATTGGTCGATCAACTAAATATCTCCAACAAGAAACTCAAGCGGGCAATGCAAGACTGCGGGGAACCAGGGGAAAATGAGGAGCAAGAAGAAGATAGCGAGCCTAATCCACCGGCACCCACGCGAGCGAGGGGAAACCCAAGGGTCCTAAATGAAGAATCAGTCAACGAACGCATCCTCGCACAGCTCACCCGACAGAACAAATCATGGACGAGGGATTCTCATCCCTAATTCGCGCAACACGCGCTTTGGACCAGAGGGTGGCAACCATCGAGGCCATGTTGGGCACTCGCGGTGCATCCAGCTCGGGAGCAGGAAACCAAGGTAGACCCGAACTTTTCAATCACAACTTCACCAAAAATCCAGTCCACCAGAACAAAGACAAACGCGCGGGGCCACACTTCCTGATCAGGAGGCCAAATTACGCGACGTCCAGGGGTGAAAGAGCGGACCCACACACCGGCTTCGGGGACGAAACTTCTTGTAAGGGAGGGGGGGGGGGAGAGTGTAACACCCCGTGTTACGATCCCTAAACCCCAAATTAATTAATTAAGTACTCGGCCCAAAAAGGGAGCTAAAATCTACTAATTAGCTAAAAGGGGGTCCACCATGGTCCGTGGGCCTTTATCCCTAAAGCCAACCCCTTAGTCATATAAGAAATAGAATTAGTAAACCCGTGCCACCTAGACCCTAATTAGGACTCTTAATTATATAAATAGAGGCATAGGAGGCACCTAGAATTCACACCACAAATAATCTCTCACCACACAAGAAGTTCCAAGAATTCCCTTAGGAGAAATCAAGAAAGGAGAAATCTTAAAGAAAGACCCTTCACAGCCAAGGAAATTAATTAAGTCTAAGAGGTAACCCATGTCTCAACAAAACCTATTTTCTTCGCTATAATCTCCTTCCTTGGCCTCCCTCTATATTCTTGTGTCTTGATTGAATTCTTCTGTGATAATTATGTTATGTTCTTGATGATTGATAAGATGACTTATATGCGTTCTTGAGAATCTTGATGACCTTGATGATAAAAAGAAGTTCTTGATTATGATATGATAATTCTTGACGAATCTTGATATTTCCTTAGTATGTGAATGAGCACAAGTAAGCTTAATTATATGTCTCCCCCTCCCTATGTGAATTATGTGTCATTACGTGCTATTGTGTGTTACATGATGCATGACCCCAACTTGGTTAAGATCAATTGGGCTATACGGGCACTTGAATTGGTTGAGAACCATCCCAACTGTTAACCGGACCGGTTAAGATCGGTCAGGGATATTGATATGATATAGGACTGAGGTCCACTATACGGGCAGTTGAATGGGCTGAGAACCATCCTAACTGTTAACTAGGCCGGTAGAGACCGGTCAGGTATATAAAGATTATGTATAGGACTGAAGGTCCACATGGGCCTCGGTGATATAACCCACCGACCTGGACGCGCCAGGCGGTGTGTAGGGCCAACAAGCCGAGGAAGGCTGTAGTCCACCGACTTGAGTAATCAGGCGGTGTGTAGGGCTATGGCTGGCTGCGATCCACCGAGTGGTGGGACATCGGTATGTAGGACCGTAGTCTTCGAGGATCTTTGCCCACCGACTGAGTTTAGCTCAGCGGTGTGTCGGGCTTGATCCGCTACGGCCCACCGATTGTGCGCATCAACGGTGTGTAGGGTCGTAAGTCCCTCCTTGTAAAGGGGATCGCGGTCCACCGACTGGGCGCGTCAGCAGTGTGTCGGATCGTGGTCCGACGTTGAGTTCGTCAGCGATTCTCAAAGGGTTGGTTGCGATCAACTCCCCTCGTACCACGGTACTGAGGTAGGGTGCTGCGGGGCTGTGTTAATTCTATAAGCATTAACCTTCATGTTCGGGGCATGCGATTGGTCCCGTGGCACCATCAATGATTATGTGATATGGATGATGATTGGTTGATGATGTGGTTTGAAATTGAGGAGTGGCTGGTGACCGTAAATGCGTATTCCTTATGATGTTATTCCTACTTTACTGCTTATTGTGTCTGATGTGCTTGTCCGTAATTGCTGAGTCTATTCCTGGTTTTAAAACTAGTGTCTCTTAAGTATATATCTTCCTGTTTCGAAATGATTATATATATATATATATATATATATATATATATATATATATATATATATATATATATATATATATATATATATATATATATATATATACTATATTTCAACGCGTTGGAGTGGGTTACCAGCATCTCTCGCTGAACATATATATTTGGCTTTCAGGCATAGTGGAGTAGACACCGGAGCGCGTTAGAGATTTGGAGCGTAGAGTAGATAGTTTCCCTATTAGCCTGCGTGCCATGCTTATGTATTTACATTATTGAGGATATTAGTTAGTTAGCCTGTGCACCTGAGTTCTCTAGCTCAAGTGTGGCATAGCACCCCGTACTCTATTATATTATGTTTTGGGATTTAATGAGAATTTATCTTTATTATATAAGTCTTAAAGGTTGAAAAATTTCGGGGTGTTACAGGTGGGGTCTGTGAACTAGAAGGATGATAAGCTTGAAGAAATTATGCACGATGGTGATATTCTGATGATAAGGCAATGATTAGTATAATAATGATTAGATGATTGTGGATTAATGATGTTCTGTTGATTACAAGATGATGATGATGATGTTAGGGGTATGATTGATTATAATAATAATGGATTATGATGTAATGATTAATTGGTAGTGTTTATATGGAGGATCTAAATGTGATTACATTAGTGTTGGTGATTAAAAGATGATGTTAATGCTGATAATGTCGTTGGGCATAATGATGATGATGATGATGAACTGGTTCCGCAAATAGAAATAAAATTCAGATGGTGGCGTGATACTGTTAGTAAGTTGAGGAAAAGGGTGATGTTGATTATATTAATAATAATAACAGTAAGTAATAATAATATTATTAAGTTTGATGGATTCACAGGTTCCCTATCGAGATGGCTAGAATGGTATTAAGTGTTGATAGGAATTTTGGTCTTCCGAGGTAACACTTCATGTTCACTAAAACTATTATTTTCCCCGAGTATTATATGTAGTGCTATTATATGATATATGCTATTAATGTGGACACGAGTGCATTTATCGATAAATGGTACTATTGTGTGGTGATTCTCGAAATATCGAGAATGGGTTTCGACGTGTCGAACCCGCGTATTGGTGTAAATCTGTGGCTTGGCCGGAATTTTTAGGGTTACATATAGTGAAATTTGCATTACATCCTTATTGTGGATTAAAAATTATGTTTTTGAGAAATTATTATATGTGGAGGAAATTGAAATTTGAGAAATTATATTTTTGAGGAATTGTATTGGACAAAATTATATATTTTGGAAAATATTATTTTTTTGGAGAAAAGAATCTATATATGGAGAAATGATGAAAATTTGAGAAACCATTATATTGTGTGCTGTTCAGTAAAGAGAATTACTGTTCACTTGGGCTAATTACTACTCATTGAAGGTAAATAGAGTCAAACCGTCGACTTGGATTCCATGCAAAGTAAGTACTTCATATTTATACAAAATGCATGTTTTGTTTAGTTTTATATTATTATATTAATTTTATATTTTATATTCTAAATTTGATGTAGTGCCCTTCAAAATGTGGATATTATGTGATGAAATATATGTTTGATATTTTACAAATGGAATTGGATGACGATGGATTAGACAAGGTAAGTAATGATCACTTCAATATATTTTCTACGGCCATACTTATTAGATTTAGTTATTTTCATTATACTAACTTTCTAACTTGAGTTTAAATTTGTAGATGTTCGATATTACTGAAAGCTATTCACTAGAAGAAATTGATGAGATGAGAAATTTATGGTGCCAAAGTTTTGTTGATTATTGGATTAGAGCTACATAATTATGACAATGAATTAGTATTTAGTTATTAGTATTGGTTGTGATTGATAATATATATCATGTTGATGTATTGTATGCATTTTGATGCAATTGAATAGCTTTTTATTACCTATGAAATTTGAGATTTACAAATTTGTAATACTGGTATTATTGTATGCATTTTGATCAAATTGTGCAGCTTTTTATTGTATTTGATATTACAGATTTACAAACTGGAAAATAAAAAGAAAATTGAAATAATTTTTCAAAAAAAAAATTTTAAATAGTAAAAAATATATGTATAGACGGCGGTTCTTACATTGAACCGTCGTCTATTCATATGTATAGACGGCAGTTCTTACATTGAACCACCGTCTATACATATGAATAGACGGCGGTTCATCAAGAAAAGCCCCATCTATACATATAATTGTTGAGATTACACGACATACATCGTGAGATTAGACGGCGGTTAGCAACCGCCGTGTTTTAGAAGTATACACAGCGGTTCAAATAACCGCCGTAGAAAGTTTTTATTTACAAAGGCGGTCACTTACACAGCACTTCAAGAACCGTCGTGTATTTATAAAAATAACCGCCGTGGTAAGTGTGTTTTGTAGTAGTGAGGGTTAATAGAGTTTCAGCAAAAAGATTGTCAAGCTTTAGTTTGTACAAACCATCGGAAAGAATACCAGAACTAATAAAATGATTTTGTTTGAATAAACTAAAACATTCATTTCCAAATTTAAAGGAAAAACCATAAGAGTCTAGTTTTGACAAAGAAATTAAATTCCTAGAAACTGAAGGAACATAAAGAGTTTCAAACAAATCCAAATGATTTCCAGTATCTAAAATTGAACGGTAAGTTCCAACGGCTTCTACCGGAGCTTTGACTCGATTCCCCATGAACACAATTTTTCATTTGGCTTTATGGTTTGGTTCATAAGGAATCATTGCATAGTATTCGACACATTGAGTAGTGGAACCAGAATCTATCCACCAAGTATTGTAAGGAACTTCAGTTAAATTTGATTCGAAACATACTGATATATTATATATACCTTTCTTTTCGAACCATGCCTTACACTTAATGCAATCTTTATGAAAATGTCCAGATTTCTTGCAGATTAGTCATTCTTGTGTTCCTTTCGTGGATTAAAGAAGAGGACTCATTAGTCTTTATTGGTCCTTTCTTACCCTTATGATTCTTCTTTCAAAACGTCTTACAAGCCCTTGACTGACTCATGAGATTAATTAAGTGAATCCCTTGTCACTTAAGCCTTGTTTCCTCTTGAGTTAGCATTTTATGCAATTCGAACACATTCCACTTATCTTTAATAGAATTGTAATTCACTTGGAATGTCTCATACTCGAGAGGCAAAGGGTTTAAAATATATTGTGCAAGGAAAGTATCACTCACGTCCATTTTCATGGACCTTAATTTTGCTGCTAATAAGCTCAACATAATCATAAACAGTCAAATACATTGAAGGTCTCATTTGGGTGATCCAACAACATATAACTTTAAACATAATACGATGCTAAAAAAAAATTTCATATAATTAGTCATTAAGTATATTAAGACTAGACTTGTTTGCTATCTTTGGATATGCTAAACAACTCAATAAAATATAAATAATTAACCACTAGCATGTTTATAATTATGAAATAATTGATCACCTTTGGGCGACTCATAAATATTTCAAAATTATTAAACTTCAATTTACCCAATATAATGAAGAAAAAAAATTATGTCACCTCATTATAAGCATCACATAATAATGGGTAATTGAATTTTATTTAAATTTGATATCTATTCAAACTTTATAATTTGGCCACTTTCGTGACTAACAAATCAATCATAATTAGATACCAAGTTAAGTAGATATAATATAATAAATAATATCATTATAAAAATATCCACATACATAATTATATAATATACAATCATTCACATGGATGGGGATTGAACCCTACACCTCAATCTTATAAAGGATAAGGTTCTACACCACCACACAAACCATGCTTACATACTATAAAGAATCAGAATTAATCTACATACTTAATTAACACATAATTAATTAACAAATTAATCTGCATGCAGTAATATAGCGAAAGCGATAATACAAATAATTGTGAACGCATATGCTATAACAGATACGGTAAACATATTACATACAACTAGAATAAGATACATTCAACAAATTACATATAGTGCGTACAAACAACAAATCCAACCCATACTGTCATAAACATACGAAATACATAAAGATATAAACATATATATTTATGCAGTACTGTAGCAATCCATAAGAAGTAGTTTAAGAATGGCTTGCAAGAATTCATCAGAACCATATACATAAATTAATAGTACACACATACTTAAATATATGGATAAACAACTGATTGTGATGCAGCAGCAAAAATAACCTTCACGCTATCAAAAGTACGTACTACATACAATATATATGTATATATGTCATATATAAACAATACATACGCAGTAATACATATATAAAGAATTTATACATATATAAACAGTTTATACATACATACGCAATTTTATATACATATATAAACAGTGAGATGAAACCAGTTTATTCATACAATTTCTTTGTGTGTGTGTGTGTGTGTGTATATATATATATATATATATATATATATATATATATATATATATATATAGAATAAAGTTCAAATGCGGCGGAGTCTTCCCGTGCGGCGGTGCGGCGGAATTCCAGAATACACCAACAGTGTTGACAATATGCACCAACAGTGTAATAAAACCACACCACAATGAAATGTAATAAAACATCACAAAATACACAACATACTCAAAAAAAAATACACCATATAACTCACCACCCCCAATGGTGTATTTCTGAACAGTGTATGGTGTTTTTACTCACACCTAATGGTGTGTGTTTGGTGATGCAGGGCTCTGTTTTCTCTGTTTTGTGTGGTGTATTTTCCTAACATTGATGGTGCATATTTGTTGAACTATTGGTGTTGCCGCACCGTAAGAAATCGCCGCACCTGAACACGCATTTGCAAATATTCAAACAAAAGCATTTGCAATTATTGATGTTCATTTCAATTCATATTGCATCATCAACCAGTTATATAATATATAAGCAGTTATATATTATATCGTACAGCATATTAAATAATCTTCACTTAATCATACAGTACAGTTGCAGCAATAAAAGCTTAAAGAAAGCATATGTATGGCTTGCACATGTTATACGCAGAAGTATATTCATAACAATGAAGAATCATAGGTTCATACAAATTGAAGCATGTGCTCCATCTCAACTAAAACCTTAAAAGCTGATAGTTGAATACACATTAACGGATATATACTCACACGCCCCCTCACGTGTACGGTGGATTCCAACCAACACGTGGACCGGTAAACCATAGTCGCTTACGAGTGGCGTTGAGATTCGAACCCATGACCTTTGGTCTGGCTCTGATACCAAATTGAAGCATGTGCTCCATCTCAATTAAAAGCTTAAGCTGATAGTTGGATACACATTAACGGATATATGCTCACAATACAAAATGATATACATACCCAGAATTCAACAGTACATACAATCAACCTTATATAGCAATGCTTTTAAATCATAATATATGGAAAAACATATGTTCTACAACCTGGCTCATGATACCACATGTAAGTTAATTCTATGAATGCAAGACCTTTAGAACACATGATTTCACATACTGCATTCAATTGGCATTCAGTGAACATACCTGACTCCATTGTTATCCCGTGAATGCTTGAACTAGATACTTGGTTTCTCCTTCCAGATCTTTAGCATTCCTTAGTCTAACTCAGATGGAGAGAGTTTAGTTTCTTTTAGAAGATTGGGGAGAGGACCAGAGAATCAGTGTGGCTAATAATAATCTCTCGGTTCCATCAACGTGAGAGGTTATTATCTGATGACCAGTTGAAACTGCCATTATCTTTAACTGGCCAATCATATAATTATATCATTATTAAATATAACTAGTAACTTACCCGTGCGATGCACGGTAAATAATTTATAGAATATTTAATTTACGTTTTATATATTATAAATTAAGAAATTGTCATTTGAGCGTATCTTCTTGTAAATAATTTCATTTTGAAATGTAAGCAAAGTAAAAAGTAATAACTGTTAAAGAAATAAAATGGGAACGAAATATAAATTACAGGTTGTTAAATACCTCCTTATAAACTACATTAGTAGTTGAACTACATGTATGATCTAAATCACCACAAATCAAAAATTTGAGACCTTTAGGATTACTTACTCTAGATGCCGCTACATATAATTGTCCATGCACGAATACAGACTTCTTGAGCAACAAACCAACATGAGATAACGTTTGTCCCAGTCTTTTATTGATGGTCATTGCATATGAGAGCATTAATGGAAATTGTCTTCTTTTAAACTTGAATGACAATCTTGGATCTAAGGGTGTCATAGTCATTCGAGGAATCAACACCCTAGTATCTACATGATCTCCAGTTGATATTTTTGCTTCTATAACGTGTTCTGCCAACTTGGTGACTATCAATGTAACACCCCGTGTTACGACCCCTAAGATCAATAAATCATTTAACCAATTATCCAAAGAAAGAATTAAATTACAATAATTAATTAGGAAAAGGCCCACCATAGTCCGTGGGCCCTCACATCTAAACCCAACCCCTAGTCCTAAAAGGAATAGAGTTAGCAAGCCTATAGTATTTGGGCCCTAATTAGGACTCTTAGATATATAAATAGGGGACATAGGAGGCACCTAGAAACCCCACCACAATAATCTATCACCACACAAGGAGTTCCAAGAATTACTCTAAGAGAAATCAAGAAAGAAGAAAGACTTACAGAAACACCCTTCATAGCCAAGGAAATCAATTAAGGCTAAGAGGTAACACATGTCTCAACAAAACCTATTTTCTTAGCTATGATCTCCATCTTAGGCATCCCCCCCTATATTCTTGTGTCTTGATGAATTGTTTATGATATTGATGATGTGATCTTGATAATTGGTGATATGGTTTTATCTTGATAATCTTGATGATGATAAGGGTTTCTTGATTGTTTGATATTCTTGGGGAATTCGGATTCTTGATGATTACGTGATATTCTTGATAAATTGTATTGGTTCCTGATTGTAAAGGATGAATTACGTTCTTGATGATTTAAATATAATTAGAGCCCTAGGATGTATCGTGAAATTCGTGTGGTGTTATTCTTGATATATTGGGTGGGAATTCGCATGTTTGGGCGTTAATTGTATTTTGGAAGCATAATAGGATACGTGCCATATGTTTCTTGCTTTTGATCCGTTAATTGTCTACGTGGTGTCATCGATTGCGTTAAAAATGTCTAAGCATGGCTTCGGGTTCCACGACGGATTCCGGGTCGTTTTATTGTGAAAAGGAGTCAGTGGGGGGTAGGTGGGGGTAGGGGACCCGCCACCTACCCGCGGCCGGAATTAGCGTCGCCGGCGGGCGACTCTTCACCCACCGGCTACCCGCTGGAAACTCCCCCACTTCGGGATCCCGGCTTCCCCGTTTGATGTTCTCCCGTCCCCCGTGGTGTCCCAACGGACTCCGTCTATCATGCCTATGTCTGGTTTGATGTTTCGGGTACCGTTCGTAGGATAAACGAGTCTTATATATTGCATGCTAGCTGAATTGGTATCCCGTTGACCTAGGTGAAAGAAGTATGAACCCCTTAGGATTATTCCTAGTATGTGATTGATCACGCATAGGTTTCTTTATACGATTTCTCCCCCTTCCCAATGTGTTAATATGAGTTGCATGTGCTTGCTATGTGTTATGTGTGCATGATACCCCAATTTGGTTGCGATCAAATTGGTTATTCCTGAGCTGCGGTTCAGAAGCTGGCTGCGGTCAGATTTACACTCTCGGGCTGCGGTCCACCGTTTGGTTGCGATCAAACGTTTCACATGAGCTGCGGTTCATATTCCTGGCTGCGGTCAGATGACTACTCTTGGGCTGCGGTCCACTGTTTGGTTGCGATCAAACATTATGATGAGCTGCGGTTCATCGGTCGGTTGCGATCGTCCCCTTCGTGTTGCGATACGAGGCAGGGTGCTGCGGGGCCGTGTCAGAGCTATATGCGCTGACCCTCATGTATGGGCATGCGATTGGTCCTGTGGCGCCATCAAAGTGTGCTATGTGATGAGATATGGATGGTTTGATGTTATGAATGTTATGATGTGAAAGTGTGACCATAGGATACATGCTAGTAACCCGTATATGCTTGGCTGTGCTTATCTATATCTGTCGAAGTCTGTCCCCTATACTAGTGAATTGTATATGCTTGGTTATGATTGTTGACTATGCTTATCTCTGTCCGTCGAGTCTATTCCCTGTTTTAAAGCTAGAGTCTCTTAGGATATATCTTCATGCTTCGAAAAGGTTTTTCTTATATCTATATATATGCCTATATGTATTGTATTTCAACGCGTTGGAGTGGGTTACCAGCATCTCTCGCTGAACAGATATATTTGGCTTTCAGGCACTAACGAGTAGACACTGGAGCGCGCTAGAGATCCGAAGCGTAGAGTAGATAGTTTCCCTATCGGCCTGCGTGCCACACTTATGTATTGATATTGTTGAGGATTTTAGTTAGTGAGCCTGTGCACCTGAGTTCTCTAGCTCAGGTGTCGCCTAGCACCCAGTACCCTTTTATTATACTTTGGGATTTAATGAGAATTTACCTTTGTTATATAAGTTTCAAAAGTTCAAAAATTTTGGGGTGTTACAGTTGGTATCAGAGCCTAAGTTTGACCCTAGGATAAGACTCTTAAGACTAGACTTTAAGACAATAGGCTTGAGCTCTAGGTATTTAGGAGCATAGGACTCAGGAGCCTTAGGACGCGCAGTGAGACTGTGAAACCTACACATAACTCTCCCTCACTTTACCCTTCACTTATCTAAAGGGAACTTTCCCTCCACTTATCACGCCAAAGTAAGGATACAGGACTCTCACCTAACATCCCTATAAACATTGACCCAGAAGGACGACGACATGTCACCAAACAGAAGACGATCAAGGACACTGGAACCCGACACCCACGACCCTCTGACCCAAATCCTGCAGCAACTGACACAAGTCGCCCAAGCACTAAGCGATGTAGCTCTCCACAACAACAGACCCCCACCACCTCCATCGAATACAAACTCAGACGTCGCCCGTCAAGTTTCGAATCATCAACCCCCCACGTTTTCAGGAGAAGAAGACCCCGTAATCCTTGAGGAATGGATCCGGACCCTCGACAAAATTCTAGGGCTGGTAGAATGTCCAGAAGAACGCCGCGTGGAGATAGCCTCGTTCTACTTCGGACACGAGGCAGACCTTTGGTGGATCCACGAGGGACCCGCTTACCGACAAGAACCAGGATTCGATTGGGAAAACCTCAAAACACATCTACGAGAGCGATTCTATCCAACACACGTAAAAACATCTATGCACGAAGAGTTCCTCCATTTGAAACAAGGAACGGCCATCGTCATGGAATACCATAAACGATTCCTAGAACTAGCACGCTTCGCACCAGAACTAGTCCCCACTGAGGTAACCAAAATAGAGAGGTTCGTATCGGGCCTCAACTTCGAAGCCCGAAAAGCACTAGTGGTAAGCAGACCCCGGACCCTCAACGAGGCTTACTCCAGTGCCGCAAATCTCTATCGAATCCAACTACTACAACGTGGGGTTTAAGAACATATACGGAAAAGAAACACCGGAGGTGGGACACCACCCGTAAAAAGGACAAGAAACGACACCAACACAAGACCAAGTAACCTGACCAGCCAAAGGCCACCCCTAGGGAGCCATGAAGCTAACACAAGAAGCTTCCCTTACCCAAAATGCAACAAAAGCCATAGGGGCAAAGACTGCATGGGCAATCCCTGGCGATGCTTCAACTGTGGGGAAGAAGGACACAAGGCCTTCCAGTGCACTCAACCCCAAAGGCCACGCACCACCACCATGGGTCAACACGGGGGCACCACTCACCAAGGAAACTACGGCACTCCCGGAAAGATATTCGTCATGAGCCGCGTCCAGGCCGAACTCGGGAACGAGAACAACCTCGAGGAGGGGAACCTAACCCCAGAAGACGAGGACCACGCAAACCCCACGGAAGAAAACCAAGAAGACGAGTTCTGTCTAGGATAAACCGGCAAATTCCTTGTAACCACCTTCGTAGTGGAACTACTTACTTAGCTTAATTACTTTGTAATTATTATAAATAAAAGACTAGACTGAAATTCGACCCTACTTACGGGGGTGGAACTAAAATTATACATAGGGAAAACAAGCCAAGCCTCCCACCACTAAAAGACAAAAGAAGGAAAAAGACAGGGACCACACAATCAAAAAACCTAATATCACCAATGGGAATTAAACCCTTGACCTCCCACATACAAGACCAAGATCTTAACCACTAGGCCAAGGGTGTTTCTTAAAATCTTAAGGGAACACTCCCTTCTTAAATCTCCCGCAAATCCCTAAAACCCACAAATCCCCAAATCAAAAACCCTTCTTCTTCTCCTTCTTCTTCCTCTTCTCCCACACTCTGTCTCCCTCACCCCTCCTTCCCATCTCACCTCTCCGCCTCCTAAAACGCCGGACCAACAGCCCCAGCCGGACGCCGTCGACGACCGAAGCTGCCGCCGACCGCCCAGACGACGCCCCACCGCACACCGCCGTCGCCGCCCGGAAGCAAACCGCGACGCCTTCGCCACCCACCACTCGCCTGAAGCACCCCCACTGCCACGCTCGCCACCACTGCCCAGCCCTGTCCAAGAGCCACCGCCCCCTCGCCAAGCCGTCGCCAGAGCCGAGCTCGCAGCCGCCCTCCTCACCGACGAGGAAACCGCGCTGCCGGAAACTCGCCGGAGACACACCGGAAGTTCACCGGAAAAATACCACCTCCCCAAAAATGCCGAAAAAGCCCCTCAGAGTCCGCACCCTGGAATGGAGCAACGCCGACTACACCGTAATTGGAGGTAAAGCCCTCGAACTTGACCAATTTTCTCCGGAATTGGTCGATATGCTTAATCAGCAAGGGCTTTTGGATACATACCTCACCATCAAAGGGGATACGTACCCCGAATTGGTGAAAGAATTCTACCAACACCTAGTAGCCACCACACGAGGTGATAAACTAGAAATCACCACCAAGGTCCGCGGCAAGGAAATCATACTCTCCGAAGGCCGCTTGGCCAAGCTCTTGAAATTGACCACCACGGGTGTGTCAAATTACGACCGAAAGGGGTGGATTGATACCCAAAATACGGGGTACAAAGAATACCTCGGATACTTACTCGGGAAAGAGGAAGGGTTCACCTCGGCCACGCGACCAAATAGGAAGTGGCTAACGGCGGAGCAAAAGATATTGGTTATGATTGTAACTGACAGCCTCTTGCCCACAAATAATAAGAGCAAAGACGTGGGGAGCTTAGAGTGCACTTTTGCCTACCTCTTGAAACACAAAATCAAGTTCAACCTACCGGCCCTCATGCTAAAACACATGGAATTTTGCAAGACAAGCAACCGACTTAGCCTGCCCTACGGGATGATCCTAAGTTGGATCATAGAGAAAAAGGGGGTGGATCTAAGCCACACTGAGGTCAAGACTGTAAGCGGCATGATCTTTAACGCCCAGAACCTCCGCCGCAATGTTATCTACTACACCGAAGGGGGACGATACATCACCCTCGAAGAAATTTGCCTAAAACCCGAGGAGGAGCGAAGAGAATTGGTAGACCAATTGGACATCTCCAACAAAAAGCTTAAACGAGCAATGCAAGATTTTGGAGGCCTAGAGGAAGGTGGGGATCAGGAAGAGGATAGCGAGCCTAACCCACCGGCACACACACGATCGGGAGGAAACCCAAGGGGACAAAACGAAGACTCGGTCAATGAGCGCATCCTAGCACAACTCACCCGGCAAAACCAAATCATGGAAGAAGGGTTCTCGTCCTTAATCCACACGACACGCGCATTAGAATAGAGGGTGGCAGCAATCGAGACCACCTTGGCGCTCGCAATGCATCCAGCTCTAGAGCAGGAAACCAAGGTAGACCCAAACTTTCCTATCACCAAGACACCAGAAGTCCAGTCTACCCCAGCAAGGACAAAACATGGGGCCACGTTCCTAACCAGGAGGCCGAAATACGGGATGTCCAGGAGTGAAAGAATGGATTAACACACCAAGCTTCGGGGACGAAACTTCCCGTTAAGGGGGGGAGAGTGTAACACCCCGTGTTACGACCCCTAAAATCAATTAATCATTTAACCAATTATCCAAAGAAAGAATTAAATTACAATAATTAATTAGGAAAAGGCCCACCATAGTCCGTGGGCCCTCACCTCTAAACCCAACCCCTAGTCCTAAAAGGAATAGAGTTAGCAAGCCTATAGTATTTGGGCCCTAATTAGGACTCTTAGATATATAAATAGGGGACATAGGAGGCACCTAGAACCCCCACCACAATAATCTCTCACCACACAAGGAGTTCCAAGAATTCCCCTAGGAGAAATCAAGAAAGAAGAAAGACTTAGAGAAAGACCCTTCATAGCCAAGGAAATCAATTAAGGCTAAGAGGTAACCCATGTCTCAACAAAACCTATTTTCTTAGCTATGATCTCCATCTTAGGCATTCCCCCCCCCCCCCCCCCCCCCCCTATATTCTTGTGCCTTGATAAATTGTGTATGATATTGATGATGTGATCTTGATAATTGGTGATATGGTTTTATCTTGATAATCTTGATGATGATAAGGGTTTCTTGATTGTGCGATATTCTTGGGGAATTCGGATTCTTGATGATTACGTGATATTCTTGATAAATTGTATTGGTTCCTGATGTTAAAGGATGAATTACGTTCTTGATGATTTAAATATAATTAGAGCCCTAGGATGTATCGTGAAATTCGTGTGGTGTTATTCTTGATATATTGGGTGGGAATTCGCATGTTTGGGCGTTAATTGTATTTAGGAAGCATGATAGGATACGTGCCATATGTTTCTTGCTTTTGATTCGTTAATTGTCTACGTGGTGTCATCGATTGCATTAAAAATGTCTAAGCATGGCTTCGGGTTCCACGATGGATTCCGGGGCGTTTTATTGTGAAAAGGAGTCAGTGGGGGGTAGGTGGGGCAGGCAACTGCCCGGAGACTCGTCGCCGGCGGGTGACTCTTCACCCACCGGCTACCCGCTGGACACTCCCCCACTTCGGGATCCCGGCTTCCCCGTTTGATGTTCCCCCGACCCCCGTGGTGTCCCAACGGACTCTGTCTATCGTGCCTATGTCTGGTTTGATGTTTCGGGTACCGTTCGTAGGATAAACGAGTCTTATATATTGCATGCTAGCTGAATTGGTATCCCGTTGACCTAGGTGAAAGAAGTATGAACCCCTTAGGATTATTCCTAGTATGTGATTGATCACGCATAGGTTTCTTTATACGATTTCTCCCCCTTCCCAATGTGCTAATATGAGTTGCATGTGCTTGCTATGTGTTATGTGTGCATGATACCCCAATTTGGTTGCGATCAAATTGGTTATTCCTGAGCTGCGGTTCAGAAGCTGGCTGCGGTCAGATTTACACTCTCGGGCTGCGGTCCACCGTTTGGTTGCGATCAAATGTTTCACATGAGCTGCGGTTCATATTCCTGGCTGCGGTCAGATGACTACTCTTGGGCTGCGGTCCACTGTTTGGTTGCGATCAAACATTATGATGAGCTGCGGTTCATCGGTCGATTGCGATCGACCCCTTCGTGTTGCCATACGAGGCAGGGTGCTGCGGGGCCGTGTCAGAGCTATATGCGCTGACCCTCATGTATGGGCATGCGATTGGTCCTGTGGCGCCATCAAAGTGTGCTATGTGATGAGATATGGATGGTTTGATGTTATGAATGTTATAATGTGAAAGCGTGACCATAGGATACATGCTAGTAACCCGTATATGATTGGCTGTGCTTATCTCTATCTGTCGAAGTCTGTCCCCTATACTAGTGAATTGTATATGCTTGGTTATGATTGTTGACTATGCTTATCTCTGTCCGTCGAGTCTATTCCCTGTTTTAAAGCTAGAGTCTCTTAGGATATATCTTCATGCTTCGAAATGGTTTTTCTTATATCTATATATATGCCTATATGTATTGTATTTCAACGCGTTGGAGTTGGTTACCAGCATCTCTCGCTGAACAGATATATTTGGCTTTCAGGCACTGACGAGTAGACACTGGAGCGCGCTAGAGATCCGAAGCGTAGAGTAGATAGTTTCCCTTTCGGCCTGCGTGCCACAGTTATGTATTGATATTGTTGAGGATTTTAGTTAGTGAGCCTGTGCACCTGAGTTCTCTAGCTCAGGTATGGCCTAGCACCCCGTACCCTTTTATTATGCTTTGGGATTTATGAGAATTTACCTTTGTTATATAAGTTTCAAAAGTTCAAAAATTTCGGGGTGTTACAATCAACCTAGTACTATTACACAACCCTAGAGAGTGATCTATATTTCTCAACAACATCACAGGTGAGTCAACCTTCAAGGTAAGGGAGTGATTAGGTATGCCAGAAGTGCGTATGCCATTAAGAAATTCAGGTTTGTGGACGTCTGTCAAAATGCCATCGTTCGATTCAGAACTACAGACCATGTCACAACTCGAATAATCCTTGCTCTCAGCAACATGCATATCACTCATATATTGGTTAATAGCATTGACCACATCTAGAGTTGTTGCTAGAATAGCACGGTTTTCTAAAAAGCCATTGTCACTGTTGTTAGTCGAAAACATCGGGAATGTGTTCTCCACTACAGTTGCAATGGGATCTCCAGAACTCGGTAACAACATGTCTGGTGGGATATCAACTTCTACTAACCCATCATTTAGACATCCAATAGTCCCGTCACCAATTCCTGCGATCCATTTCGCAAAGTTTTCTAGCCATTGCAATTTAGTGCCGGCGCTCATACTTTTCAAGCGAAGATTCTTAGTCAACCTTAAAACCTTGCAATTATCCCACAGGTACGATGCATTTATGGTGGCAGCAACTATGTCTTCCCTTGTGCCTTTTGGTACTACGGGTAATATTTGGCAGAAATCACCACCTAACACCACTATTTTCACGCCGAAAGTTTGATGTGCACTCCTCGGGTTAACAAACTGTAACAAATCTCTCATCGTTCTATCTAACGCTTCAAAGCAATGCTTGTGCATCATTGGTGCCTCATCCCAAATTATTAATCTCGTTTTAAGAATCAATTCAGCCAAGTCACTACCGGGTGTAATGTTGCATGTTGAATCCTCAGTAATATTGATAGGTATTGCAAACCTAGAGTGTGCAGTCCTTCCACCCGGTAGGAGTAATGATGCTATACCGCTCGAAGCAATATTAAGAACTATTTCACCTTTAGATCGCACGCAGATAATGCTCGCCAAAGGAAAGTTTTACCTGTTCCACCATATCCGTATACCAAAAAAAGCCCCCCATTATTTGTCAACGCATCTTCAACAATGGTGTCGTATACAATCTTCTATTCATCAGTTAATCTGCTTGTCAATTGAGCACTCTCTTCAGAAAGGGCTGCACGATCATACGATAACTCCTCAAGTAATAAACGGTTCCCATTTAACGTTGATTGCTCCAAATCTGGAAAAGGCATAGGTGAAAACTCTTTCAATGATTTATTGTGCATCTGTAGCAACTTTTCCAACTCAATCAGAGCAATGTTCTTCTTCTCATCATCACTAAAGATAAGATCTGCGACATGTATATATTGAATGTAAGGCTGTTAACTATATCAAAGGAAATATTTAACAAACATAAGATGTATCAAATAACATACCTGGTTTTTGAAGCAACCTACGTTGGTTGAATTGTGCATCTTCCGCTAGATGGTGCCATACTTCATTCCAAACATTCTCCGGTCTATTCAATGAATTGGTGATCAACAATGTCACGAAAATTTTCCGCATCGAATGAGCTGATGACCAATGACTTGCTTCGTCAATCGCATCCATGTATTCTTTATCATTAACTAACAAACCCCGTGCATAGCATGCATCTCTAAATGTGATGTACTCAACCCCGTTAAATGTACGAATGTCTTTAAAACATGTAGGGCCACGTACTATATTCAAAAGGCATCTAAGATAATATATTTCACCACACCCAGGAGGAACATAAAAAATACGACCGATTGAAAATCCCCTTTTCCTAGGATGCCACTCTCGAATATCCTTCTTCCATACAAACTTATTTGGCATCTCAATGTAAGTCAACACCTTGGCATCCCCATATGTTTTATTTGCTTCGAACCATCCTAAAAACATACTTTGCCCGACAGTGTGCCTGTTCAAAACTTCTGTAACGCTATCGTCGTCATTGAACACTACGGACTGACAATCCGGCAGATAGAAGCTTAACCTTTCAACCGGTGGTGTCCTATACTGAACGTCAAATCTGAGTAGGCGCCATGTCGCTTCACATGCAGAAACATAGCGACAGTCGTAGTACATATTTATCTCATCTACTACTTCGTTCCCATCTGTATCCACAGTACTTCTATAGAATTCAGCTGTTACATGATCATTACCTTTGTTAACATACTTGAAAAGGTATTTTATGGACCTAGATTGGTTACACCACTCAACATTCATGTGTGCTCGGTACTTTAAAAGCAAGGCTCTATTGTGTGGCACGACATATCTACTGTCCAATTGCATACCTTTTTTGTTACGGTCATACCATCATCACGTCGCCTATAAATTGGGTAGCCATCTTCATCTAAACTTGAACATTCAACAAATCTTTTTGGGAAATGCTTAGAACAACGCCCATTGACCATGCAAGGTAATTTTTTCCGTGCAGCCCCACATGGTCCATGAATCATGAATTCTTCAACAACATTGTAATATTCTCTGTCACGTTCCTTGTATGGGATTTCAGCTGATATGATAGTGTCCATGAAGCTAGCTGCACTGTTGACCTCATCTCTCGCCAAAAAGAGCAAGATGTGTGCATGAGGAAGGCCCAGTTTTTGAAATTCAATAGTGTATATGACTGGACAAAATGGAAAATCCAATTAGTGATACTGAATTATATTAAGTAATATATTTCTCACCAAATTCACTCAGGTTTTCTGAATAAAAAGTATTAATCAATAACATATGTTTACCTGTTCTAACTACACCAAATATCCCTCTAGATTTGAACTCTTTTATTAGGCAATCCAATTTCATTTTAAATATTCGGCACACAATATCAGGTCTATCTTCTGCCTTTAAGTTTCGCTTGACAACATACCATTGAATTTCTAGCCACTTTGGATTACATGTAAATGTAATGAAAAGATTCGGATAACCTATCCACCTACAAATGGCCACCGCATCTTGATAATTTTGTACCATGTACCTAGCCCCACCTGTAAAGCTAGATGGTAAAATTATACGTTTCCCAAAAGTGCTAGGATCAACCTCTCCCCTTGTCAGTGCATCTGAGAGTCCTTTGTAAGCCTCCCACCTTAGTGCGTTCTGGTTGGTCCTAATGTAGATTAGCCTCCCAGATTCAACCATTGTATACGCATCTACTAAGAACGGTTGAAACAATCTCCTGGAGTAAAGTATAGTTGATACTTTCGTTGTCCATTCATGGATTCGAAATGCGAAGTATTTTCTAGGAGATACACGGTGCCTGCCACCCTGAGGACGATTAGATGTCCCCGCAAACTGAATGTCCTCTCTATACCCGTCCTCGCCATAAGGGAATAAGAGAGGATATTGCATTGGTAAGTAACATGGATTCAACTCACTTATACGTTTTAGTAAACCACTCTTTGACTCAACCAGAATGTCCCGATTGCCTATTGATGGATCTAGATCACCAACGATTAAGGCTGCGACTTCTGACGCTGTCGGTAAGTTATACGTTCTAGCGTCAGTAGTTCTGTTCCCAATTAGCCTCAGTTTAATCTCTACACGTGGATTTGCTTCAATCTCTGCCCTAGCATTGCGGAATGATTTGACCAAAACATTGTTTACATCTAGAACCTCCTTAATGTCAGCAACCACATCGAGGTGTATGTTAGATTTCTCGTCTTATTGCCTACAAAAAAGATTAGGTTAGCGTACATAAATATTTTACATAATATTTTAAAATATTGAGTTTCAATAATAAACCTACCTCACCGATTCTATGCGGTTGATAATCTCATTTTGGGTGTCATGTATATATAATTGTGCAAATTTCAGCTTGCTACCATCGGGGGGGGGGGGGGGGGGGGGGGGGGGGAATAAACTGCCTATTAGATGAAAATTTTGACCATACATTCTGAAAATGGGTGCTGCATTACCATTGTTTATGGAATTCTCAATCTTACCTCCCATTGATGTGAAACAAAACATGTTGTTGTAAGATCTAATATTTTTTAAAAAACATTTCCGCTTTTCACCAATGGTAAACAAATCAAACAACTTTTTAGGTGGTGTAGTAGTTGGTGGTAAGCTAATCTTCCCATGAACACAACACCCTGAATATCTTGGAGAACCATTGACCTTGACTTTATTTATACGTTCCTCAAACCAAAATGGCGCACTACAATGCTCACATATATTTATTGGATCCCCAAGATCTGCATAGTCCTCTGTACAAATAACATTTTTCCGTTACATCGTGTATACCAATGAGCTTACAAATATTTAAATAAAATATAAAACTACTAAATATATTATCATATTATCATGAACTATAGTCGTTTCTAATACATCTTCAAAATCAGCACTCAAGTTTCGAGTAGGTGTATCTATCCGAATTAAATTTTGAGCATTAGCATTCGATGATGAACCACATAAAATGGAACTATTGTTTAATATAATTTAAATTTTTTAATATAATAACAATTACAATTTAATATAACAAATAATCTATATGTATATATTATATATAATAATAATTATTAAATTAAATTAAAAATTAAAAATATATACTAATATGATGTGTGTGCACGTGTAACCTCTAAATAGAGGGAATATTGAGGTGCAATGCTCACACACACACACACACACACACACACACACACACACACACACACACACACACACACACATATATATATATATATATATATATATATATATATATATATATATATATATATATGTATGTATATATATGTATGTATATATATGTATATATGTATGTATATATATATATATATATATATGTATATATATATATATATATATATATATATATGTATATATATATACTATATATATACATACATATATATATATATATATATATATATATATATATATATATATATATATATATATATATATATACATATATACATATATATACATATATATATACATATATACATATATATACATATATACATATATATGTATATATATAATATATATATATATATATATATATATATATATATATATATATATATATATATATATATATATAACCAAACAAAAACAAATGAAAGATCTAGAATGCTTATCCTTATCCTCTCTTTGAGATTTCCGAAATTGGTTTCTATGTATCCTCACCATCGTTCTCTTTCTGTCTGCTTCTCTCTATCTCTCTATTATAGTATTACCAGATATTTGTTGCAGCCACTCTCAATCTATCACAGATTTGGCAATCATACTACCTTAAATCTATGCTATAGTGAAGACGAAGGCTGCTGCCATCATCATTGTAAGTATAATCCATCTATGAAATCTATCTAATTCGTTTAATTTAGGTATGATATTAAATTTGTAGATTATCTTTATGAATTTCTTCAATTTAAAGTCTGTGATAGATTAATTTATGAAGATTTTAAACAATCTGTGCATTAGGTTCACTTAATCGTCTATTTAGGGTTTTCTTTTCTTAATATTTAGCAATGCATGCGTTGGTAGGCTAATCTATTTCACTCTTCCAGTACTTGGATAGGGATTATTTTTCTTGTGTTTTCTGATCAAAACATTTATTTTTTATTTTTATTTTTTTGCAGAATGAGTAGCAGATCAAGGCTTAATCTTTTTCCCTTCTCACTGTACCCTCTGGCTAAATCGGTGAAAAATCCATCTTAATCTCTTAATCTTTTTGTTGGATGTGTTCATTTTACTGTATGTAGTTAGTTTTTAACAATTCTACTCTAAAATCAAAGGTCTGCATGTTGATTTCTAGAAAAGAATATCATAGGCTATCATATGGTATCAGTGAGAAATTCATCTTAATCTCCTTCCTATTTTGCAGATTTAGGCTTAATCTTTTTCTTGGATGTTTTCATTTTACTGTGTGTATTTAGTTTTTAACAATTTGTGTTCTGTAATTTCTCTATGTATATAGAAAAAATAAAAATATTTTAAATTATTTAATATAATAACAATTTTTTTTCTAATCTGTTTTGGTGCGAGGTGTACTATAAAATCTGGTTGTAAACTGAGAGCACTATTTCTGGAAATCCTGGGATACTTACAGGTAAGGTAGTCAAATGCCTAAACTTTTATTTAGTTTTTATAGCACTAAGATTACAATATGTGATACTTACAGTAAGGTAGTCAAATACTTAATTTTAATAGCAGATAAAAGATGAACCAACCTTTATTCTCTTGTTGTTGTTTCCTCTTCTTCCCAATCACGGTTGAAGATGTGATTTTTTTCATATTACTGCACCTCAATGTGGAAGTAGCATAATGTAAAGTATTTTTCATCAACTAATAAGGTTTATATATACAGTTCTGATATGGAATCAGTTATATATACAGTTCTGATATGGAATCAGAACAGTTTTATAATATTTATATGCAATAAATAGTTGTGTGTATTATTGTATTATTGGAAGTCTAAAAGATGTTATTAAGTGGTTCAAAATTTTCCTATGCACTCAATTTGTGATAAAGTAGATGATGAAGAAAGGACATGTACCTGAGTTCTCTTTATTCTCAATTTTGGCGGTAAGGCTTTTCTCTTTAGCCAGAGAGGAGGCTATAGTTAAGTTCATTGTCATAATCATGAAGGAAGCAGAGTTCTCAAACGATGAGGATGGCAGGATCAGGGGTTTGCTTAAAATTCGTAAATTTAATGATGCATTGGCCACTCTTAGATGTGTCTTAAATAGACAACATTATTGCTAGAGGAATTAGTGAAGGAAAGAATAGGAGTTGTTGATTAGCACTGTACCAAACTGTTTCCTTCTTCATGAGTGAACTTATGATATGCAAATGGATGAGAAATTTGTCAGTAGGGAGGGGAGAAGAGGCTCTGCTTATATAGTATCTCCAGTTTTGAAGTATCGCTATACCTTTTAGCATATCATAAGTTCAGTTAGAAAATAGACGTTTGAGGTGCTGCCTTTGTTCTGTGAAACTTACTTCATTCTTACCTTATGGCTGCCTTTGTTCTTTGAAACTTACTTCATTCTTACCTTATGCACTGCCGATTTGGATGTTGTGCATCATATTTTAATTGTATGTGGCAAAGCAAGCAAGATAGGCTGATGAAACCAGTATGTATTCAATTTAACTTTTTTACAGAACATTATGTTGATACATAAGATTTATTAAAGAAGTTATATAGGTTTTTACAGATAGAGATTGTCATATCAAGCTTGCAAAATGGGAATATGGACTGTAAACTGATCCAAACGTTCCCATATAACATCCTTCAAAGGGAACAAAAGAATTTTTGTACCATTTGAGCTTATTAACAAATCTTTAAAATTGATTATCATTTTGGTTCCCGTATTTTAGTGATAGAGATTGTCATATCAAGCTTGAAAGATGGGAATAAGGACTGTAAACTGATCCAAACGTTCCCATATAGCATCCTTCAAAGGGCACAAAAGAATTTTTGTACCATTTGAGCTTATTAACGAATCTTTATAATTGATTATCATTTTGGTTCCCCTATTTTAGTGACATTTTTATTTTTAGTCCCTGACAAAACAATTTTTTATATTTAGATCTCACATATTATAATAGTACCACTTTTAGTCCTACTTTTAGTCTTACATAATTTAATACTTTGGTTGTTAATATGTAAGATTAACTATTTTTTTTAATCTTAACTACATACAGGTTAAGAGAATGGACAACCATGTTCTGTTAAAGATCTTATGATGGATCAGCCAAGAAGATTGCTATGGATCCATAGGTAATTCGATCCAGCCTAATTAATATATGAATCACTACATTTAAGGCAAGTGGTCTTGCCTTACAAATTATAGAAACATAGATGCTTTTATTTATCATAATCTTAGCTTAGTACATCACATAGCTAGGAACTTAGGTATATTCCTTGATACCCCATAGTAAACCAAAAGTCTATCTAAGTTTGGTTGTTGAAGATTCTTCCAGCAATAGGTCTTGGTCAGTCAACCTAACCTGCATAGAAATATGTTATGTTTATAATAGATCATAAAGTTAATTAGATGCCAAACAGCCAACCACAAAACCTTAAAAACCATGCCATTTTTGGCGTAAAAGTCAAAGATAGAAATTCAGTTTGGCACAAAGACATAGTGTGCCATTATTGGAATCAACCTACATATACCCAAAACATCAGGACACAAAGAGTTCAAAATGTTTACAAACATAAAACGACACATTAAGCCAGCTTTTCTTTCTTGAAAGTTATATCCCTTGTCTTTTTAGAGCTTTCTGTGGATGAGAATTCATCCAACAAACTTCTCTTCAATGATCTGCTACCTGTGTCGGTGAACTCCTTGGGAGATCCTTGGTGACAGACTGAGCTCTCCACTTCGTTTTTAGAAACAAAATCCTATTACCAAAACGTATACATTAGTATAAATATTATAAGCACTTTTATTTTAAAATTAAAAATGTCTATTTTATTTACCTCATCGTCCCCCTCCGCTATGAGCTCTTCCTTATCATGGTCACCATTCTCAAGTAGATCAGGGGAGTATGCATCAATCAACGCATGATCATTTATAATCTTCATAACTGCGAAAGCATTATGAAGATTGTCGAATTGCTCTTTGCGTGCTGCTATTTTGAAAACCATAACGACACCACGAATGGCCAGGATTTCATCGGGCAAAGTGGGCCTAACCTAAAATAACAAAACAGTTTGTTAAAATGAAAAAAATTAAGAAGGTTGCATGCTTTGCAATTAGAGAATAATCATTAGAGGTTAATTATTAATACCTGAGGATATTTTTCAAACAGTTCGGCTGTTGTTATTCCGATGAGTTCAGTACATTCCCTATCCCATATAATGAACGGCGCATTTCCTGCCCTATCGACTACTCTAACCTTCAATCTATAGCGCAACACTCCATCCCCCCTGTTTTTTTTACACTTATAGCATTCTAAAATGCCTTTCTCATTGAGTGCCAGTTTCTTATTACAACCACGGGTTTTGCAGGATCTATAGCACCAATCTCTATTACTTTCGATCTCAACAATTCTGGCCACAACCCAGAAGTCACCGCACTAACATAAGAAAAATAGCGTAAGATTTTAGTTAATAACTATTGACCCACTCTAAAAATTTTTGAATATTTAATTATTCAAAATATTACCTGACGCAACGAATAAACCTCAGAAATAGTATAAATAACCATTGACCCACTCGTAAATTCATCAAATGTATTTTTTTGTGACGGACTTGAAATAGTGTTTACACTCCTCAATGGAGTGTGCACATCACCGAGTCTAAAAGAAAAGACTGTACATCAGTATAAAAACTAAAAAAAAAAAAAAGTAAAAGAGGTTTTCAAATCTACCTCTCCTTAAACTCAATGATCTCGGGTATATCTTCGTTGACCAATATATTAGGTGCATCATATGAACTTGAGAGCTTAATCTCCCCACCTGCATAACAAACTATACTTAAGATTACGTATCTTGATGATGATACGTAATAATACATAAGAATAATACTGACTGTTCAGGTTCCGCTTGGCTCGGCAAAACTGCATGATAACAATAACATGACCATTGTAGTTCCGATTAAACCATGGCTCCATCTTTGAGACATGGTTGTCCCAAACTATACACTGCATTTGTCCACCCCTAGATACACAGTGTTTCTATGTGTTAATAAGCAAATAAATAGTATGTTATACATATAATGTATATATTTGCTCACTTATCCTCTTCAAGCACGAAGTCTATAAATCTGGAAGGTTTTCCACCAACCAATTTCTCCATAGGAGAACTGATCTCAACCAAGCGACCTATTATGTCTAATAAACCAAGAATATGAAGATATTTAGAAATTGTTAAATAGGCAAAATATTAAAAAATAAACAGAGAAATAAAAATTACCAATAAGTTCTTTGTCGTCAAAACCTTGATCAGATTTGAATTTAGAAAACAAAATAGGTCAGTACATAACTCTAGGGAATGTTATTTGCTTATACTCCTTTACTTCTGTGTAATACATGAATTTGATCATAAGATCGTTTGCACATGTCTTGTAGGTGTAGAAGCTAGTTATGACCAAGAAGTTCCTTATGCAATACACTCTGCCCTCCCTGAAAGTATTTTGAAACTTGCTAATGTATTCTTTAGGTATATGTCAATGCAAATATCTTCCCTGCAAATCATTATAAACATTAGAGACCATTACATATGCCTTGAAACTTGATAATAATATTATAACATTATAGAAAACAATACTTCCTTGTCGTGAAAAACGACTTCTTTGCATTTGATACACTCTCCCTTCCTTTTCGGTTAGGGATTTCATATGTTCGAATACACCTTAGCTTGATGGCATTGGAAGTTCTCTAAGGTGCAAGTTGGCTGGCCGTGACAAACAGAGGAGCCATGATATGATACTTGTAGTTCTGATGATGCGTAATCTTGGAATTTGTGTTGGATGTAATTTCTTCTTCTTTCCATCGGTTTATATAGATCTTCTGTTGACTGTTCATTCTAGGATTTAGGAATGGGAATTCATAAATGCCCCAGTCGAAAGGTTGTAAGCTTATAATTTATAATTAATAGTGTAATAATTATCAGATCGCTACAATTCGTAAAAGCAGTTACCTTATGCGCCAATCGATGTAAGCCAATCGTTCACAGCTCCATTATGTTAAAACCAACCAAAACGGTGTCGTAATATTTGGCATTTATTTTTCCCCAGACCATACAGCTTTATTATAGTAGAGATTAAATGGTTATATATGTAACACCCCAGATTTTCAAAACTTTTAAAACTTATATAATAAAGGTAAATTCTCATTAAATCCCAAGCAGAGCAGTACTAAACATAAGAATATGGGGTGTTATGCCACATCTGGGTTAGAGAACTCAGATGCACATGCTAAACTATCTAATCATCCTTAAACAATATCATTACATCATCATGGCACGCATGCCGAACAAGAACTACCTATCTAAGTCTTGGTTCCTGTAGCGCGCTCCGAAGCTAATCGTCTGTGCCTGAAAGCCAAATATATCTGTTCAGCGAATAATGCTGGTAACCCACTCTAACGCGTTGAAATACCGTATAAGTATATATATATATATATATATATATATATATATATATATATATATATATATATATATATATATATATATATATATATATAAAAGAAAAGTCATTTTGATGTAGGAAGATATATCCTAGGAAACTCTAGTTTCAAAACCGGAATAGACTCGACAAATAGGGATGAGCACATTCAACGGTTATAACCAAGCATGTAAAAATACTAGCATATATCCTATGGGATAAGCACATTCAACAGTTGTACCCAAGCATGTAAAGATACTAGCATATATCCTATAGTCATGGATTCACTTCATCTTATTTATATCATCATTCAACTCATCACACAAGCACACTTTGTTGTCACCACAGGACCAATCGCATGCCCATACATGAGGGTCACCGCATATAGCTCTGACACGGCCCCGCAGCACCCTGCCTCGTATCGCAATACGAAGGGGTCGATCGCAACCGACCGATGAACCGCAACTCATCATAATGTTTGATCACAACCAAACAGTGGACCGTAGCCCAAGAGTGATCATCTGACCGCAGCCAGGAATACGAACCGCAGCTCATGTAAAATATTTGATCGCAACCAAACGGTGGACCACATCCCGAGAGTGTAATTCTGACCGCAGCCAGCTTTTGAACCGCAGCTCAGGAATAATTAATTTGATCGCAACCAAATTGGGGTATCATGCACACATAACACATAGCAAGCACATGCAACCCATATTAACATATTGGGAAAGGGGAGAAAACGTATAATGAAACCTATGCGTGGTCATCCACATACTAGGAATAATCCTAAGGGGTTCATACTTCCTTTACCTAGGCCAACGGGATACCAATTCAACTAGCATGCGATATATATATATATATATATATATATATATATATATATATATATATATATATATATATATATATATATATATATATATATATATATATATATATATATATATATATATATATATATATATAAGACTCATTTATCCTACGAATGGTACCCGAAACATCAAACTAGACTTTAGGCACGATAAACGGAGTCCTTTGGGACACCACGAGGGTCGGGGAAACATCAAACGGAGGAAACCAACATCCCGACGTGGGAAAACCAGAGGGTGGCTTGCGGGTGGAAGACCACCCGCCGGCTACCCACCGGCGGCGAGGCTACTGGGCAGCGGGTGCCCGGCGGGCAGTCGCCTGCCCGCCGGCTGCCCGCTGCCGGCGACGCCCTTAGGGGCAGCGGGTAGGTGGCGGGTTTCCCCTACCCCCCACTGACTCTTTATCAAAATAACCGTCTCGGGATCCTTTGTGGAACTCGAAACCATGCTTAGACACTTTTAAACGCAATTGATGACACCAAGTAGACAATTAACGGATCAAAAGCAAGAATCAAATAGCACATATCCTATCATGACTTCTAGCATAATTATCACCCGAACATGTGAATCCCCACCCAAATATATCAAGAATACCACAATATGAATTTCACGATTCATCCTAGGGCTCTAATCATATTTAAATAATCAAGATCATAGTTCATCTTTTAACAACAAGAAACTTCAAGAATTATCAAGAACATCACATAATCATCAAGAACTTCCTATCATCATCAAGATCATCAAGATCACTCATAAATTCATCTCATCAATCATTAAGATCATATCATCAATATCACAACCGATTTATCAAGACATGAGTAAAGATGAGTAGTCAAAGAAGGAGATTATAGCAAAGAAAATAGGTTTTGTTAAGACATGGGTTACCTCTTAGCCTTAATTAGTTTTCTTGGCTATGAAGGGTCTTTCTTTAAGATTTCTCCTTTCTTGATTTCTCCTAGGGGAATTCTTGGAACTTCTTGTGTGGTGAGAGATTATTCGTAGTGTGGGTTCTAGGTGCCTCCTATGCCCCCTATTTATATACCTAAGAGTCCCAATTAGGGTCCAAATACTATGGGCTTGCTAATTCTATTCCTTATAGGACTAGGGGATTGGTTTTAGGGATAAGGGCCCACGGACTATGGTGGGCCTTTTCCTAATTAATTACTGGAATTTAATTCTTTCTTTTGGGTAAATGATTAAATGATTAATTGGTTTTTGGGATCGTAACACGGGGTGTACACTCTCCCCCCCTTACAAGAGGCTTCGTCCCCGAAGCCGGTGCGTTGATCCATTCTTTCACCCCTGGACATTCCGTATTTTGGCCTCCTGGTTAGGAACGTGGCCCCACGCGTTGTCCTTGCTGGGGTAGACTGGATTTCTGGTGACGTGGTGATTGGAAAGTTCGGGTCTACCTTGGTTTTCTGCTCCTGAACTGGATGCCCCGCGAGTGCCCAAGATGGTCTTGATTGCTGCCACCCTCTGATCTAAAGCCCGTGTCGCGTGTATTAAAGACGAGAACCCTTCGTCCATGATTTGGTTTTGCCGGGTGAGCTGTGCGAGGATGCGCTCATTGACAGATTCTTCATTTTGTCCCATTGGGTTTCCTCCTGTTCGTGCAGGTGCCGGTGGATCAAGCTCGCTATCCTCTTCCTGTTCCTCATTTCCCTCTAGTCCCCCACAATCTTGCATTGCCCGTTTAAGCTTTTTGTTGGAGATTTCCAATCGGTCAACCAACTCTCTTCGCTCCTCTTCGGGTTTAAGGCAAATCTCCTCGAGGGTAATATACTGTCCCCCTTCGGTGTAGAAGATATCATTGCGACGGAGGTTCTGGGCATTGAAAACCATGCCGCTTGCGGGCTTGACCTCTGTGTGGCTCAGGTCCACTCCTTCTTTTCCATGATCCAACTCAGGATCATTCCGTAAGGTAGACTAAGCCGGTTGCTACTCTTGCAAAACTCCATGTGTTTTAACATAAGGGCCGGTAGGTTGAACTTGATTTTGTGTTTTAGAAGGTAAGCAAAAGTACACTCCAAACTTCCCACATCCTTGCTCTTGTTATTTGTAGGCAACAGGCTATCAGTTACAATCATGACTAGTATCTTTTGTTCTGCAGTTTGCCATTTCCTGTTCGGCCGAGTGGCCGAGGTGAAGCCTTCTCCCTTTCCAAGTAGGTATTCGAGGTAGTCCTTGTACCTCATGTTTTGGGTACCAATCCACCCCTTCCGATCGTATTCTGACACACCTGTGGTGGTCAGTCTCAAGAGCTTGGCCAAGCGGCCTTCGGAAAGTATGATTTCCTTGCCTCGGACCTTAGCGATGATTTCCAATTTATCACCCCGCTTGACAGCCACCAAGTGATGATAGAACTCTTTCACCAATTTGGGGTATGTATCCCCTTTAATGGTGAGATACGTATCCAAGAGCCCTTGGAAGTTAAGCATGTCAACCAACTCCGGCGAGAATTGGTCTGGTTCGAGAGCTTTACCTCTGATTACGGTGTAGTCGGCGTTGCTCCATTCCGGGGTGCAGATTCCGAGGGGCTTTTTCGGCATTTTGGGTTTTTGTTTAGGTGGCTGTTTCCGGTGAATTTCCTGTGTGCTTCCGACGAGGGTTCCGGCGCGACTCCGGTGAGCTT